GAGATCGTCGATGCTGACGTTGCTGCTGGGCGGGCGCGCGTTCTGCATTCTCATGGGCTCGTGCCAGGAGGTTTTGCGTTCGCCGGTGCATTCGCATCGCAGCCAGGAGCCCGGGCCCAAGAACTGCAAGATTTTGACGACCCTTGGTGCAGTCCTGAAGCAGATCGCGCCCCCTTTCGTTGTTTGCGGTGGCTTCCAGATGTTGCTGGAGACCTCGGCGGGCTCCTAGCGGGCGGAGGCCATGGGCGCCGTTTTCTGCATCGCTGTCGTGCGCTACGTAGTTCGCTCGGAGCTGGCAGGTGCATCGGTTTCTTCTTTGTCTCGCCATGATTGCACTGCGGAGCGCGAGCAGGGATCCTGGTCGATGCGTGGTTCTCATGTTGAAGCCGCTGGGCAGCGCCGACTTGAGCTACGCGGTCGCCAAGGTTCCCAATCGGCTGCCCGCGGACATTCCCGCTGGATACCGCCGCGCCGACCCCGAGAAGAATCGCGCCGACTACGAGATTCAAACCGAGGATCTTGAGATGTGCAGTAAGCGGAGGCTGTGGCTCGACACGGTAGAGAGTGATCGGGCTGATGCGTCTGATCTTGCTGTCGATAGAGACCCAGAGTTCTTTGTAGATATGAGGGCCCCCGGTTCTGTGTGCAGCAAGCGCCTCGTGGCAAGGGCGTGGCCTTCTCCTCGCCTCAGCGCTGAGCGCCTGTGGTGGAGGCTCCTCGCCAGATGTTTCGACGGACTTGCTGCGCGGCAGCCTCCAGCGCTTCGCAATGGCACGCTCCGTCTTGCGCGTCGCCTCTGTCGCCGCGCGCCTCGCTTCGAGCGCGCGTTCGAGTCGTGGCGCGCTGCGTTGCGCGCCGCTGCTTCCGCGTCGCATTTATGGGCGCACGCGATCGCGCAGGTCGCGCGCGCGCGCGATTGCCGCGCGCCGCGCAGCCGAGCAGGCTAAGAATCGCAACTGGTCTGCCTGGGTAGAGTCTCGCGCGTTCAATGGGGGCGCGGCGTTCCATGCGCATCGCAAGCCCGTGACCCCGCGGCACGCCAGAAGCCTCTCTCCCCCCTTAGGGGCGCCTGCCACGAAGAGCGAGGGGGCTCGTCTGTTGGAGGGGAAGTGATCTGGGTGGTGGAAGGTCGGCGCCCTCGAGGATGATCTGGTCTGGCCAGACGACCTCGGCCCTGATTTTCCTGAGCCTAGGTTGGACGATTTGAAACGTGTCTTGAAGACCTTTCCTACTAGCTCGGGATGCGGGTTCGACCAGATTTCTCCTCGGCAACTTCTGGCGCTTCCTGACTCGGCCTTGGAGGCCTTTTCGGCAGATTTTGCGCGCGGTGGAACGGTCGCGCAGCTGGCTTGAGTGCTACGCCAAGGTGGTCTGTATAGTCAATCGGGATGGGGGTCTCAGGCCTGTAGCCCTCATCCACATCCTGGCTCGAGCGCAAGGGCAGCTCCGCAGCCCCCTCGCCGGCAAATTGCAAGTTGAGCACTCGCGCCCATACTGGTGGGCCGCCAGCTCGGAGTGGGCCCGAGAGCGAGGGTTCTCGCGCGGGCTCATCCTTTTTGATTTAAAAAGGCGTTTGAACACATTCGCCACAGCGAGCTGATACCTGCTGCGTCCAGCACTGATGTTTACTCTTCGTCAGCTGAAGTCACTTGTCTCTCTCTGCCGTGCACCGCGTGCCCCATCGATGAACGATGCGATATCCAGCCTTGTTTGCGCGCCGCAGGCGGTCCTGCCAGTGCACCACTTCGCGGCCCTCATGTTGCAGATGGTGCCACTGGGGCCCGTGGACAGAGCTCTGGAGTGCCATCGCTCGGTTCAGCTCGGATTCGGCGTGGGCGATTTTGGGATTCACCAGGTTGGTGGGCCACGAGACCTGCTCGCCGACCTGGTGGGCGCCACCAGATATACCTCCCTGTCGCTCGTCGGAAGAGCCGCGTCGCTGCGTCGCCCCCCTTAGTCCGTGCTTAGCAGGTGCGAGCCTCAGAGGTATAATGCGCAAGAGGCGCCTCCAATGAGCGCAATCTAGGAATCGATTTTTCTGCTGCCGCCATCCAGCGTTGGACGACTAGGCAGGGGCGCGGGGGCCCAGCTCGTGCTCGGGCTCGCAAACTCCTGCAAGTTGCCACGCATGTGCGGCAGTCTCGTCTGCGCACCATGCTGCAGGCTGCTGCCTTGACCTCCGTCAAGTATAGGGATCACGCGCGCGGCGCCGGCAGCGTGGCTCTGCGCGAGGCAATGGCCATGCAAGCCCACGTGCAGAGCTTCAGTATTGCGGGAGCAAGTGTTTCTCGCATGCGGAGGCTGTCGCCGAAGCGTCGTTGTGATCCCGCTCGCAGGTTGCAGCTTGATCATCCAGTTAGCTTTGCCGTCGCGGTCTGGGGCGAGCTGCTTCCCGGGAAGGTTTTACTCCAAGGGCTGGTTTCCGCGGTGGCTGCGCATCGGGAACGTGGAAATCCTCGGGCCGCTGTTCGCGGGCCTTTCCTTGCGTGCGCGGCCGCCGCAAAACGGCTCGGGTTTTGCATAGGCGGCTTTGCGGGGAGTCACGGGATTCATGGCAGGGTCAGCCTTGTGGGGGCAATCTCCGCGCACGGTGCGAGCATGGCTCATCCTTGTCATTGAGCAGTGGTTGTGGTGCAAGGCAGCTGATCGCGATGGGGCAACTGGCCTCAGCACCGCCAGTGGGCTAGTGCAAGACAGCAGCTGACAGGCGTGCCTGGAGGCCCCAGGCACTCGGTCGCATAGGCATGCTGCGTGCGGAAGGCGCGAGGAGATGCAAACCGTGGCCCAACCGCCCGCGTTTGCCGTCGGCCTCGTTCGTGCCTCAGTCGACCCTCTTCCTCGCTTGTTCGCCGAGAGGCTCCTTGCCCCCTTCTCGCCTCCCCCCCCCCTCCTCGGCATCCGCCGCCCCGATGGTTTGGAGGAGGGCCTGCGGAGATGGGAGGGCAGGTTTGTTTCCTGGTGGCTCTTGGATGGATCAGCATCTCCCAGGGTCATCGCAGGCTGCAGCGTGGGCGCTCGTGGCCGTGCATCCTGACACGTACCGCGCGCTTCCTGTGCTCTGTGGCACGCTCGACATAGGGCTCGCCGATATCGATGCTGCCGAGTAAGCAGCCCTCTGTCGTGCCCTTCAGCACCCCGCGCCGGGCTCCACGCCGTGCGCGGACAGCGCGTTTGTGCGCGATGGCCTGTCTGTGCGCGGGCGCTCCGCATGGGCGGAGATCTGGACCCAAGCGCGGGGGCGCGCGGAGGACTGGAGGGGGCTCGAGCGCGCGCATGTTGTCAGGGTGCGTTCGCACTGCGCGCGCGCTGCTGCGCAGAGTGGGCGCACTACCGAGTGGTTGAAAGCAGGGGATGACCTCGCTGACGAGCGGGCTCAGTGGCAGTGCTTGCGGTCTCTCATTCCCGAAGACGTTCGCACGGCCTTCGGGTGCAGGGCCACGGTTCCAGGTCCCTGGGCTTCGCGGGCGGCCCAGATCGGACACCCCATGGCCGACTTCGACGCGTTCCATCTCTCGAAGCAGGCCGCAAGCAGCGGTGGGCCGCAGGAGCTGCGGGCTGCGCCACCCCGTCCTCTCTCTGGTTGCCCCACCGTCCAGCGCGCCGCCAGTGCTCTCGCGCGCCGACGCGGCGCGCGCGCGCGTGTGTTGCTGGTGCTGGAGGTCGGCCGCGCGCCTCGCATTCGTTCCAGGCGGTGGGGGGCCAGTGGCGCGCGCGCGCGCGCTGCGTGCGCGGGGCGGGGGGGGGCCATCGTCTCGGCCAGGTTCGCCAAGCATTGCCCAGGGCCGCAACCCCACGGCTCCTGGGGCGCTCGCGTGCTGGCCCATTTCGCCAAGGAGCGTTTTTCGGTTAACAGGGTGTGGCGCATCCTTGCGCAGCCGCCTGTTGCCTCCGAGGCGCCTCGAGTGGGTGAAGTCTCGGAGCTCGTGTTTGGCGGGCGCCGCCCGTCTGCCCCTGCAGACGGTGGCGCGAGCGGCAGTCAGGCGCCACCCGCGTCAGCGGCGTCGGGGGCGCAAGTGGCAGCGCGCGCCACCCACGCACGCTGACGCGGCGGCGCAAGTGGCATCGAAGCGCGTCGGACTCACGATGCGCCGCGGCTTTGTCGAGGAGGAGGAGGAGGAGGAGGAGGAGGAGGAGGAGAAAAAGGGGGAGGAGGAGGAGGAGGAGGAGGAGGAGGAGGGCCAGTGTAAACCCAAGAGCCATCATCGATCTTGGAATATTCCCCCTTTTCCAGGTTCCATCTTCATAAGCCCCCACAGCGGTTTATTGCCATTGAAGGAACTGCCTCGTCGGAGGACAACCGTTCGAAGACCCTCGGAATTCCGACGCCACTGATCAACCTGATTGTTGCGTTTTGACAGTCCTGAATCGCGCCAGAACGCCATGTTGGGGACTTCTACACAGCGAAGGAACGCAACTGTTGCACCCTCATAATCCGGAATCCTGCCAAAACACCATTTCTGGTATTTTTTGATCATGGGAATCCGTAGAACTGTTGCAAATGTTTAAACGAAGGCGCGCGGCGCTAGGGCGGAAGCCACAGTTTGAAACGGAACCACTCTCAAGCCGCTATTTAATATTAATAACAATAAAACAAAATGTTCAAACGAATATGCGCGGCGCTAAAGCGAGAACCGCATTTTGAAAACGGCCCGCCCTCAATCCGCGAAGCTCTCGGCGCTAAGGCGAGAACCGCATTTTGAAAACGACCCGCCCTGCATTTGTGAAACCCCACTTTCACTTTTGAAGCTTCAGGGTCATAAGCGGTGAGGAAGTCTCAGGCGAAACGCCTGGCCCGCTCCAACAATTGGCCTCGGGGTGCGACAGGGGAAGTTAAGTATAAGGAGAATGACCGGAGGAGGAGGAGGAGAAGGAGGAGCTGGAGGCGAGAAGAAGAGGACCAAGGAAAGAGCCAAGAACACCGTGCTGGGGACGTGGCGGCGCGCGCCGAGCGCGCGCAGCCGGCTCGATGCGGCGCGGCCGCGCGCCTTCCCGCCTGCGAGGCGCGCCCTCGCGACGGTCGCCTCTGCCGCGCCGCGCGCGCGAGCGAGCGAGCGCGCGAGCGGGCCGGCGGCCAGCCGCGGCAGCTGGGCGGCGCTGGCGGCCGCGTCGCAGGCGGGGAGGGCCGTTGCGCCGCCCGCTGCCCACCCCCTCTTCTCCACGTTTTTCTCCTGCTGTGCCGGGGGCCCCCGTCGTCATTCTCCTCCTCCCATCCTCCGTCCTCTCCCCCCCCCCCCCCCCCCCGCGCGCCTCTTCCTCGCCACTCTGCTCTCTATTTTCCTCCCGCCCCCTCTCCTTTGCGTGTTTTTTGCGTTCGTCCTCCCACCCCCGCCCCCTTCCCCTCCTTCAGTCCCCCTCATTTCCGCTCCTCCTCTTCCTCCTCCTCCTCCTCCTCCTCCTCCTCCTCCTCCTCCCTCCTCCTCCTCCTCCTCACCCATTTCCTCCTCTTTCACTGATCCATCTCCTCCTCTTCAGCTCCTCTTCCTCCTCTTCCTTGCCCTGATCCTGGTCCCTGCTTATGCTCCTCCCCTTCCTCCTCCTCCTCCTCCTCCTCCTCCCTCCTCCTCCTCTCCTCCGCCTCCTCCTCCTCCGCCTCCTCCTCCTCCTCCTCCTCCTCCTCCTCCTCCTCCTCCTCCTCCTCGCTCCTCCTCCTCGCTCCGACGGGCTCGTGACGCGCACCCTCAGCGCGGGGTCTCGGAACTCTGCTGGGACGCGGGGGTGGGGCCGGCGGCTGTAGATTCTTAGGCGGGCGAGCGCATGGGGGGAGGAGGGTGGGTGCTTCCGACGCCCCTCCTCGCTGGCTTCGAAGGTAGAGCGAACGGGGCGCGGGGCTGGGCGGAACCCGAGCGCGCAGGCCGCCGCTGTCGCATCGCACGGGGCGATCGCCGAGCCGCGCACCAAGGCTCGGAACCCGCGTCGTTGCTTGGCGGTCCCGGGGCCCCCCGAGGCGGCAACTGGCCGAGGGCCGGCCGCTCCGCTTGTTTTGGAGCTTCGCCGCCCGTCCTTTGGGCTCGTTCGTCGGCTCCGTCGCCTTGCTGCCGCCGTCGCCGCCCCGTCGCCGCCTCTCGGAGGAGGGCAGCGTGAGACAACGGCCGTGAAACAACGGTGGCCAAATCGGTTCAAAATCGGTCCCCAGACCCCTCCCAGGGTCCAAACGCACCGATTTTTCACGCTGCGTCCAGCCGTGGCGACGAGGAGGCCCCTCAGATGCGAAAAAGGCAAAAACGTCACCCTTGTCTCACCCTGCCCTCCTCTGAGCCCCGTCGCCGCCCCGTCGTCTGGGCTCGTCCGTCGGAGCCGCCGCAGCGGTCGGCGAGCCGCGTGCCAGCGGGCGGCGCTCCTGCCCAGAGGCCGCGCCTGCGGCCGGGCCGGGCGCGGGAGGGGCGCGAGGACCGCGCGAGGCTGCTCCACGGAGCCCCGGCCCCCGAGGGCGCGGAGGGCTCTTGACTCAGGAGGGCAAGAATCACACAGACACAATTGATCCTCGATTCCCCGGAAGATATGGAGCATATGGGAAGTGGGGGGGAAGACAGAAGCCCAGAACGTAGAGGAAACTATGGGGCATCTTTTTGTTTGTGTGTACTTATCTGCGTGTCCGGGGGCCCCTTCATTGACGGCGGGTGGCCTGCCGGGAGGCCCCGCGGAACTTGAGGCACTGAGGCGTCGGGTGCTCGGGGACGTCCAGCCCAGACCCCTCGCAGACCCGATCGCGTCGTGGGGAGTTCGGGACGGAGGTATTTGTCGCCGTGTTCGGCCTCTGGAGGCCCTCGCAGGGCCCCCAGGACCGTCAACGAACGGTTCAGGATGCAAACGCAGTCCGGAGAAATGGTCGGGACTTGGGACTTCGGGGACCGCGCATTGCAAAAAACGGGACGTCGCATATCTGGGCTCGCGTCGCGAAAACAACACGGCGGAGTGTGTGCTGTTATGCTGGGCGTCCGGGAGCCCTTACTCAGCCTCGGGACCGTCCAACAACCACTGGGGATGAAGAGCAGGTCCCAAGGAAGGGATCCAGATTTCCGGGGGCCCACGTCCTGAAAAACACGACGTCGAGGGCCCGGGCTTCCACGTCCCGAGCCTGCCCGAGCCTCCCGCCCCGCGGAGCGGAGCGACGCGCTACCCGCTTGCAGGGCACAGCGTGCCGCCAGGGCCGCCTTCGCGACGCGCTATCCCAGAGTTCCTGACCGTACGTCCCTCCCCTCCCCATCCCCTCTCCTCTCCTCCACTCCTCTCCCCTCTCCTCTCCTCCCCTCCCCTCCCCTCCCCTCCCCTCCCCTCCCCTCTCCTCCCCTCCCCTCCCCTCCCCTTCCCCCCCCCTGGCGCCCCCGGGGCCGCGCACGTGCCTCGGGCCCTGATTCGCGAGCTTCTTGGGCGCCCCCGAGTCGCACTGCCGCTTGGTGCCGCGTGCACCGCGCCGTCCGTGCTCGGGGGCTCGAGGATTACACAGGCCCTGAGGGGTGGGGCCACGAGCCAAGGGGCCCCGAGGCCAGGAAGGTCTTCATCCACCGCCTCCTCCTCCTCCTCCTCCTCCTCCTCCTCCTCCTCCTCCTCCTCCTCCTCCTCCTCCTCTCTCCTCCTCCTCCTCCTCCTCCTCCTCCTCCCTCCTCCTCCTCCTCCTCCTCCTCCCTCCTCCTCCTCCTCCTCCTCCTCCTCCTCATCCCCATCCATCCTCATCCTCATCCTCATCCTTCTCCTCCTCCTCCTCCTCCTCCTCCTCCTCCTCCTCCTCCTCCTCTTCTTCCTCCTCCACCTCCCCCTCCTCCTCCACCGCTTTCTCCTCCCCCTTCCCCCCCCCCTCCACCTGGTATTGTTGCCAATGTATTTCAGAATAGGGGGAGGGGAAGAGAGAGGGGAGCGGCATCCTCCCCTCCGTGTCATTTGGCTCCAGTTAAGAGGCTGGTCCCCACGAAGCCTCGAAGCCATCCTATATGCATATCTACAGTATCCTACGTGTGTGGTAGTCCGCCGATCGCGGTGCAGCGGGCAACAATGACACTCTCCCGTGCTGCACGCGCAACCGCCGCCGTGGCCCTGGCATCGTGCGCAGACGCGCTGATGCTGGCGCCTGGAGCAGGGTTGGAGCTGCCGCTTCGGCTTGCGGACGGCCACGTGCCCCTCTTCGTGAAGTGGGAGAAGTACCTCGGCAAGGACCTGAGCGGCGTGAACTTCGTGCAGATCGGGGGCAACTGCGGCACGAACCTGCCGGAGTGCGCCGTGGGAGGTGACCCCATCTGGGAGTACGCCACCCGCTTCGGCTGGAACGGCATCGTCCTGGAGCCGGTGCCGCAGATCTTCTCCAAGCTGTCCAGCAACTACAAGCCGTACCCCACAGTGAAGCCGGTACAGGCGCTCGTCTCGAACCACTCTGGCATTGGCAAGATCCTGGACCGTGCGGAGACCTCCCACGAGATCAGCCTGTCTCGTAGTAAGGGCGTCGAGGTGCCCACGTACACGTTGGAGACGCTCTGGAAGGATGTGTTCGGCGCGGACAAGGACAAGGTCGACCTCCTCGTGGTGGATGCAGAGGGCAACGAGCCGAAGATCTTGTCGGGCAAGTTCCCCGAGCCGAAGCCGAAGTTTGTGCTCTTCGAGATCTCCAGCCTTCAGGCTGCCGACCTGGCGGGCATCGACGCGAACCTGAAGAAGGAGGGCTACGTCTTGCTGGAGAACCTGGTCCACCAGGACAAGATCGGGCTCACGATGCCGCCGCAGGACGCGCTGTATGGCCTGAAGCACACGCAGGCGGCGCAGGACGCGCTGGCAGCGCGCAGGACTTCGAAGTCCTTGCCGCTGACTCTGGAGGACGGCCACGTGCCCCTCTTCGTGAAGTGGGAGAAGTACCTCGGCAAGGACCTGAGCGGCGTGAACTTCGTACAGATCGGGGGCAACTGCGGCACGAACCTGCCTGAGTGCGCCGTGGGAGGTGACCCCATCTGGGAATACGCCACCCGCTTCGACTGGAACGGCATCGTCCTGGAGCCGGTGCCGCAGATCTTCTCCAAGCTGTCCAGCAACTACCTGCCGTACCCCACCGTGAAGCCAGTGCAGGCGCTCGTCTCGAACCATTCCGGCATTGGCAAGATCCTGGACCGTGCGGAGACCTCCCACGAGATCAGCCTGTCTCGTAGTAAGGGCGTCGAGGTGCCCACGTACACGTTGGAGACGCTCTGGAAGGATGTGTTCGGCGCGGACAAGGACAAGGTCGACCTCCTCGTGGTGGATGCAGAGGGCAACGAGCCGAAGATCTTGTCGGGCAAGTTCCCCGAGCCGAAGCCGAAGTTTGTGCTCTTCGAGATCTCCAGCCTTCAGGCTGCCGACCTGGCGGGCATCGACGCGAACCTGAAGAAGGAGGGCTACGTCTTGCTGGAGAACCTGGTCCACCAGGACAAGATCGGGCTCACGATGCCGCCGCAGGACGCGCTGTATGGCCTGAAGCACACGCAGGCGGCGCAGGACGCGCTGGCAGCGCGCAGGACTTCGAAGTCCTTGCCGCTGACTCTGGAGGACGGCCACGTGCCCCTCTTCGTGAAGTGGGAGAAGTACCTCGGCAAGGACCTGAGCGGCGTGAACTTCGTACAGATCGGGGGCAACTGCGGCACGAACCTGCCGGAGTGCGCCGTGGGAGGTGACCCCATCTGGGAGTACGCCACCCGCTTCGACTGGAACGGCATCGTCCTGGAGCCGGTGCCGCAGATCTTCTCCAAGCTGTCCAGCAACTACCTGCCGTATCCCACCGTGAAGCCAGTGCAGGCGCTCGTCTCGAACCACTCTGGCATCGGCAAGATCCTGGACCGTGCGGAGACCTCCCACGAGATCAGCCTGTCTCGTAGTAAGGGCGTCGAGGTGCCCACGTACACGTTGGAGACGCTCTGGAAGGATGTGTTCGGCGCGGACAAGGACAAGGTCGACCTCCTCGTGGTGGATGCAGAGGGCAACGAGCCGAAGATCTTGTCGGGCAAGTTCCCCGAGCCGAAGCCGAAGTTTGTGCTCTTCGAGATCTCCAGCCTTCAGGCTGCCGACCTGGCGGGCATCGACGCGAACCTGAAGAAGGAGGGCTACGTCTTGCTGGAGAACCTGGTCCACCAGGACAAGATCGGGCTCACGATGCCGCCGCAGGACGCGCTGTATGGCCTGAAGCACACGCAGGCGGCGCAGGACTCGCTGGCAGCGCGCAGGACTTCGAAGTCCTTGCCGCTGACTCTGGAGGACGGCCACGTGCCCCTCTTCGTGAAGTGGGAGAAGTACCTCGGCAAGGACCTGAGCGGCGTGAACTTCGTGCAGATCGGGGGCAACTGCGGCACGAACCTGCCGGAGTGCGCCGTGGGAGGTGACCCCATCTGGGAGTACGCCACCCGCTTCGACTGGAACGGCATCGTCCTGGAGCCGGTGCCGCAGATCTTCTCCAAGCTGTCCAGCAACTACCTGCCGTACCCCACTGTGAAGCCGGTGCAGGCGCTCGTCTCGAACCACTCTGGCATCGGCAAGATCCTGGACCGTGCGGAGACCTCCCACGAGATCAGCCTGTCTCGTAGTAAGGGCGTCGAGGTGCCCACGTACACGTTGGAGACGCTCTGGAAGGATGTGTTCGGCGCGGACAAGGACAAGGTCGACCTCCTCGTGGTGGATGCAGAGGGCAACGAGCCGAAGATCTTGTCGGGCAAGTTCCCCGAGCCGAAGCCGAAGTTTGTGCTCTTCGAGATCTCCAGCCTTCAGGCTGCCGACCTGGCGGGCATCGACGCGAACCTGAAGAAGGAGGGCTACGTCTTGCTGGAGAACCTGGTCCACCAGGACAAGATCGGGCTCACGATGCCGCCGCAGGACGCGCTGTATGGCCTGAAGCACACGCAGGCGGCGCAGGACGCGCTGGCAACGCGCAGGACTTCGAAGTCCTTGCCGCTGACTCTGGAGGACGGCCACGTGCCCCTCTTCGTGAAGTGGGAGAAGTACCTCGGCAAGGACCTGAGCGGCGTGAACTTCGTGCAGATCGGGGGCAACTGCGGCACGAACCTGCCAGAGTGCGCCGTGGGAGGTGACCCCATCTGGGAGTACGCCACCCGCTTCGACTGGAACGGCATCGTCCTGGAGCCGGTGCCGCAGATCTTCTCCAAGCTGTCCAGCAACTACCTGCCGTACCCCACCGTGAAGCCGGTGCAGGCGCTCGTCTCGAACCACTCTGGCATCGGCAAGATCCTGGACCGTGCGGAGACCTCCCACGAGATCAGCCTGTCTCGTAGTAAGGGCGTCGAGGTGCCCACGTACACGTTGGAGACGCTCTGGAAGGATGTGTTCGGCGCGGACAAGGACAAGGTCGACCTCCTCGTGGTGGATGCAGAGGGCAATGAGCCGAAGATCTTGTCGGGCAAGTTCCCCGAGCCGAAGCCGAAGTTTGTGCTCTTCGAGATCTCCAGCCTTCAGGCTGCCGACCTGGCGGGCATCGACGCGAACCTGAAGAAGGAGGGCTACGTCTTGCTGGAGAACCTGGTCCACCAGGACAAGATCGGGCTCACGATGCCGCCGCAGGACGCGCTGTATGGCCTGAAGCACACGCAGGCGGCGCAGGACTCGCTGGCAGCGCGCAGGACTTCAAAGTCCTTGCCGCTGACTCTAGAGGACGGCCACGTGCCCCTCTTCGTGAAGTGGGAGAAGTACCTCGGCAAGGACCTGAGCGGAGTGAACTTCGTGCAGATCGGGGGCAACTGCGGCACGAACCTGCCAGAGTGCGCCGTGGGAGGTGACCCCATCTGGGAGTACGCCACCCGCTTCGACTGGAACGGCATCGTCCTGGAGCCGGTGCCGCAGATCTTCTCCAAGCTGTCCAGCAACTACCTGCCGTACCCCACCGTGAAGCCGGTGCAGGCGCTCGTCTCGAACCATTCCGGCATTGGCAAGATCCTGGACCGTGCGGAGACCTCCCACGAGATCAGCCTGTCTCGTAGTAAGGGCGTCGAGGTGCCCACGTACACGTTGGAGACGCTCTGGAAGGATGTGTTCGGCGCGGACAAGGACAAGGTCGACCTCCTCGTGGTGGATGCAGAGGGCAACGAGCCGAAGATCTTGTCGGGCAAGTTCCCCGAGCCGAAGCCGAAGTTTGTGCTCTTCGAGATCTCCAGCCTTCAGGCTGCCGACCTGGCGGGCATCGACGCGAACCTGAAGAAGGAGGGCTACGTCTTGCTGGAGAACCTGGTCCACCAGGACAAGATCGGGCTCACGATGCCGCCGCAGGACGCGCTGTATGGCCTGCAGCACACGCAGGCGGCGCAGGACTCGCTGGCAGCGCGCAGGACTTCGAAGTCCTTGCCGCTGACTCTGGAGGACGGCCACGTGCCCCTCTTCGTAAAGTGGGAGAAGTACCTCGGCAAGGACCTGAGCGGAGTGAACTTCGTGCAGATCGGGGGCAACTGCGGCACGAACCTGCCGGAGTGCGCCGTGGGAGGTGACCCCATCTGGGAGTACGCCACCCGCTTCGACTGGAACGGCATCGTCCTGGAGCCAGTGCCGCAGATCTTCTCCAAGCTGTCCCGCAACTACTTGCCGTACCCCACCGTGAAGCCGGTGCAGGCGCTCGTCTCGAACCATTCTGGCATTGGCAAGATCCTGGACCGTGCGGAGACCTCCCACGAGATCAGCCTGTCTCGTAGTAAGGGCGTCGAGGTGCCCACGTACACGTTGGAGACGCTCTGGAAGGATGTGTTCGGCGCGGACAAGGACAAGGTCGACCTCCTCGTGGTGGATGCAGAGGGCAACGAGCCGAAGATCTTGTCGGGCAAGTTCCCCGAGCCGAAGCCGAAGTTTGTGCTCTTCGAGATCTCCAGCCTTCAGGCTGCCGACCTGGCGGGCATCGACGCGAACCTGAAGAAGGAGGGCTACGTCTTGCTGGAGAGCCTGGTCCACCAGGACAAGATCGGGCTCACGATGCCGCCGCAGGACGCGCTGTATGGCCTGCAGCACACGCAGGCGGCGCAGGACTCGCTGGCAGCGCGCAGGACTAAGCAGTCCTTGCCGCTCGCTCTGGAGGACGGCCACGTGCCCCTCTTCGTGAAGTGGGAGGAGTACCTCCACAGTATGCACGGCGTGAACTTCGTGCAGATCGGGGGCAACTGCGGCACGAACCTGCCGGAGTGCGCCGTGGGAGGTGACCCCATCTGGGAGTACGCCACCCGCTTCGACTGGAACGGCATCGTCCTGGAGCCGGTGCCGCAGATCTTCTCCAAGCTGTCCCGCAACTACCTGCCGTACCCCACCGTGAAACCGGTGCAGGCGCTCGTCTCAAACCACACTGGCATTGGCAAGATCCTGGATCGTGCGGAGACCTCCCACGAGATCAGCCTGTCTCGTAATAAGGGCGTCGAGGTGCCCACGTACACGTTGGAGACGCTCTGGAAGGATGTGTTCGGCGCGGACAAGGACAAGGTCGACCTCCTCGTGGTGGATGCAGAGGGCAACGAGCCGAAGATCTTGTCGGGCAAGTTCCCTCAGCCGAAGCCGAAGTTTGTGCTCTTCGAGATCTCCAGCTTGCAGCAGGAGGATCTGGATTCCATCGACTCGAACCTAAAGAAGGAGGGTTACGTTCTTGCCAAGAAGCTGAAGCACCAGGATAAGATCGGCCTGACCATGCCGCCGCAGGACGCGCTGTACTACCTTCGGCCTGACCAGGCCTGACCATGTCCCCGCAGGACAAGATCGGCCAAGCAATCGCCCAAGCTAGATACCGAGACTCGCTGGTGTTACCAACGGGGGCTTCGGGATTGTCCGCCTTTGTGGCGGAGTTCCTTGTTCTTGATCGGGCGATGTTTTCTGTAGCGTTGTCTCTTGTGGCAGCCTGTGGCGGTCCTTCCAGGCAGGATCTGCTATTATAGGGCGGCGCTGTGGTTCCCGCCCTCCTCTTCGCTTCGCTTCGGGCCATCCGTCGAACGATGCCGAGAAGCCCCACGCAAGATCACTCAGCACCGAAATGGGAGCCTCCAAGCGGCTCCGCAAGACCCAACTCCGAGCCGCCTCCTGCCAACTCCGCCCTCGCGCTCTTCGCTCTTCGTGCCATCCGTCGAACGATACCGACAAGCCCCACGCAGAATCTCAGCACCGACATAGGAGCCTCAAAGCGGCTCCGCAAGACCCAACTCCGAGCCGCCTCCTGCCAACTCCGCCCTCGCGCTCTTCGCCTCGCTTCCGGCAAGTCGTCGAAACATACTCAGCACCGAAATGGGAGCCTCAAAGCGGCTCAGGGGGGGATGCATCGATCCCCAGTCGCCGACTCATCGCCGATGGGTGCCTGATAGCCCACCCCGCCCTGAAATGTGCGGATTCCATGTCGGGGTCCATCGTCCATCTACCAGCGATGTTTCGCCGATCCCATGCCGATGCTTCCGCTCCCTGCTCGGGGGCCCCCAAACAGGGTGGTGACCACACCGTGTGGTGAGTCGGTGGGGATTCGGGGTCACCGCACGGGTTTGGGACTCGGGTTGGTCTCCGAGGACATCTCGGGCGACTGGGGTTAAGTCGGGCTTGTCCCTCTACAGGAGGAAAATTCAAAAATAGTAGAAAAATAATCTGGGGACTATCTTTTGAATATTGTTTTGCCATTTTGGAATATTTTTGGAGTATTTTTTATTTTTCATCGAAAATCCCCCTGTAGGGGGACACGCCCGACTTAAGACTGGGGCATCCGGGATCCCCAAAACCGTGCGTTGACGGACCGTACGGTGAGGTCTTGGGGGATGTCGAGGTCACCGCACGGTCTGCCACCGCACCGCTTCAGGACTCCTAAGGAGAGCTGCCCCCCCCACCCCCCCCCCTACCGTTGCTCCCCAAGATGTCGAGCCCCGCCTCGTCGACGCTCTCCGAGCCCCCTCCTGCCACACTCCGCCCTCGTGCGACGCCCCAGAGATCCAACGCACTGAGAAAATCAAGCCGGAGGTTTTTTGCTGTTCTCGGCCCTCGGTGGCCTTCGCTGGGCCTCGGGACCGTCGAAAAACGGCTCAGGATGAAAAACCGGCCCTGGGGAAAGGGTCGGGACTTCCCAGAGATCCGATGTCGTGATTTTCTCCATACGGGGTCCCAGGAAGTCCCGACCCTTCCCCAGGGCCGGTTTTTCATCCTGAGTCGTTTTTTGACGGTCCCGAGGCCCGGCGAGGGCCTCTGGAGGCCGAAAGTAGCAAAAAACCGCCGTCTTGATTTTTTCAATACGTTGGATCTCTGACTTCCCGGGGCCCCGCACGGAAGAAAGAACGACGTCGGATCTCTGGGGCGGCAGCCCTGGCAGAGGCGGCGCCCGTCCGCGCTCCGAGGGGGGTGCCGCCTGTCTGCGCGCCCCCCCCCCCAACACACACCCCGGCGGGGCCCGAGCACTGGCCTGGCGGGGCCCTCTTGGGCCGCGCTCTTGGGGCGCTCTCGGGCGTCCTGGGGGCCGTGTTGGGCCGCTGCCGGGGTCCTCTTGGGGCCGGCCTGGGGCCGCCCTCGGAGCCATGCGGGGGCGGCGAGGGGCCAGAGCACCCTGGAGCCCCGCTGTGGTTCTGAGGGGCTCCGTCCTCCCTGGGGGGGCCCTGCCTCCCCGGGAGGCACGCTCCGAGAGCGCTCGGAGCCGGCCTGGGGCGGCGTCGAGCGCTCCCGAGGGAGGCAGGCTGTCCCGAGCCACCGAGCGCGTTCCACGACTTGCAAAGTGCCCACGCTCCAACGTCTGGGAAGCAGATGCTTCTAAGCCTCGATGTAACACATCGTACAAATCCCCCCGCGGCGGATACGGGCCATGTGCGAGTCGTGGAACGCGCTTGTCTACTGAGAGCGACGCCAGTCGCCCAGGGAGCCCGTGCCGCGGCGCTTGCCGGCGCCTTCCGCCAGGGAGCCCGTGCCGCGGCGCTTGCCGGCGCCTTCCGCCGGCGCTCCGGGGAGGAGAGCCCACGGTCCACCGCGCGTGCCCGCCAGGCCCGCCGCTCCGGGGGGGGCGCCCTGGCCGTCACGAGCCCTCCCTGCGGGCAGTACTTATATCCATATCCAGAGCGTCTTGGACTTTTCGGGAAGAGGTGCCGCAACGCCGAGGCGCACTGGATATGGATAAAATCAAGCCTCTTGGGGCCAGATTGTTATCCATATCCAGTGCGTCTACGGTTTCTGGGTAATAGAGCCCAAGACTCCAAGACGCACTGGATGTGGATATAACTATTGCCCGCACTCCCGACGCGCTCGGAGGTGCAGAAGGTCCTGGGAAGGGCGCGTTCCAAGACTTCCAGGGCGTCGATGTTCCGCACGGGGGCTGCAGAAACGAGGGCCGCTGGGCATTCCGGAAGGATCCCGAGGCGTATCATGAGCCCACCCTGTCATGGCACCATTCCCCTCGGACTCCCTGCTTCTCCTGCGCCTGCGCTCTCGAGCCAGGCTGTCTCACTGTGATGGCGCGCGCACGCGCGGGCGCGCAGGCAGCCCTCCTCTGCTGAAGTGATTCTGCCATCTCCGGTGGAAAAGTCGGTGCACGGCTCCTCTCGGGATCGGTGCAGGCGCATGCGGTGAGGGCGTTGGAGAAGGAACGATTGGAGAGCGGGAGCCCAGGGTCTGGAACAGGGTGGAGCTCTCATCGCAGACTGGCCGTGGATAACTGCATGGAGATTTGCCACATGGCGGAAAGTCACGAAAGGAGCAGGGCCCCCCCCCTTCCTGCGGCAGCTTCCGAGCTTGGTCGCTCCGTGCTGGCCTCGGGGCCCGCAGCCGCGCGACAGCGCCCGGTGCGAAGAGCTGCAGCGCCCAGGCCTCAAAGTTGGCCGATGTCGAGCACTCGGGCGCGAGGAGGAGGAGGAGGAGGAGGAGGAGGAGGAGGAGGAGGAGGAGGAGGAGGAGGAGGAGGAGGATGAGGAGGAGGAGGAGGAGGAGGAGGAGGAGGAGGAGGAGGAGGAGGAGGAGGAGGAGGAGGAGGAGGAGGAGGAGGAGGAGGAGGAGGAGGAGGCGGAGGAGGAGGAGGAGGAGGAAGAAGGGAGAGGGAGGAGGAGGAGGAGAAGGAGGAGGAGGAGGAGGAGGAGGAGGAGGAGGAGGAGGAGGAGGAGGAGGATCTGGGCGCGCGCTGCTGGCATGGCGCCCACCACGGCTGCGCTCCGTTGGGGCAGGTTCCTCCTGGACGGCTCCGCGCTCGAGGCGGCGCTCGAGGGCCGCGCGAGCCCGGGTGGGTCTCCGGTGGCCCTTCGGCCCGAGGCCGATCGAAAGGCCGCGATCCTTCCAGGGCTGGGCGGCCCACGCGGCGTGAGGGAGCCGGCGCGCCGGAGGCGCTGCTGCGCGGGCATGTCGCGCGCTGCCGCGCGCGCGGGGCGAAGACGCTGGCCGATCTCCGCCGTCCTCGGGGATGCCCGGGATGTCAGGCGATCGCAAGCACGGATCAAGGGTCAAGTCGGGCCTGTCCCTCTACAGGGGGACGATTCAAAAATAGTCAAAAAAATAGTCTGGGGACGATTTTGACTTACTATTTTTGCTAATTTGGGTGTGCATTTTTTCGGTATTTCTCATTTTTCGCAAAATCCCCCTGTAGGGGGACACGCCCGACCTATATCAAGGGGGCGTGGATTAGCGACGGTCCCCGATTCCGTGGGAAATCGCGGATGTGCGCCGCCGAGCGAGGCGGCACCGGCCGCATTTTGGGGAGGGCACCTCGCCCGATCCATGGGTCCGGTGACCGCGCGCCAGAGCCATGGATCGCCAATCCATGTCTGCGCGCCCCCGAGGATGGGCGGTCGCTGTGAGCGCGGTGGTCTCGTCCAGCTCCGAGGCCCCCGGAGGGCGCCCTGGCGTGGGCTGGGGCCCGGCTGGCTCCAGGCGCGCCGAGGCCACGGCACCGGCTGGGAGCGGCGTGCCCGTGCCTGGCGCCTCTCGCCGACCAGGAAGCAGACGGCACCACCCCACACGACGGCTCCTCCTCCTCCTCCTCCTCCTCCTCCTCCTCCTCCTCCTCCTCCTCCTCCTCCTCCTCCTCCTCCTCCTCCTCGTCCTCTTTCTCCTCCTCCTCCTCCTCCTCCTGCTGCTCCTCCTGCTCCGGCCCTCGGTGTTGCGCTACGGCCCGTCGGGGCCCGCAGCGTGTGCCACGCGAAAACCCACGCCAGATGTCCTGGTAGACTCTGGTGGACGCTGAGGCCCGCGGGGCCGTAGGTGGGCGGTGTCGTTTGGTTTTGGGTCCATCTCTCTCTCTCTCTGTGGAAGCAAGAGCGGATGTCTTCGCCCAGCTGGTGCGACACCTGACGATGGCGCCCAGGCCGTTCCACGCGGTCGCTGCGGGCTTGAGGCGCGGGGCCATGGGGAGAGCGGTCCCGCCGTGTGTGGGGGCCGAGTTTTGCACTCTGGGGAACCATTGTTTATTGGTGCCGTCCAGGGCTGCCGTCTCTTTGTCACGAACCCTTCTCATCCACTTCCTCCCCCTCCTGTTCCTGTTGATGCGTGCACCCCCCATGGGGAGACGAATCATTGCCTTGTGGACGTGTGGATGTCTCTGAGCGTGTTGCTGAGTTGGCCCGTAAATGTGCCCCCTCGGCGCTGCCGTGGCACGATTCCGTGTTCGTGACACGGGGCGCGGTGTCGCAGTGGCTGGCTCTCGCGCATCGGCACTGCACTTGGGGTTCGTTTGGCCGAACCGTGGAGCGCTCTAGAACATCCTGCCTGGCCCAGGACGTGCCCTCAGCTCTCCCAGTGCCAGTCGTTAAAGCAGTTATCTCACTGACATGGACTGTAGCATTCTAGTGAGGTGGACCTCCTCCCTTCTTCCATTGTTCCTCCCCCTTCCTCCCTATTCTCTCGAAAATGGAGGGAGTGACCACTAGAAAGAAAGAGAAATAGAGAGAGAGAGAGAGAGAGCTCCGTACAATATGTCGCGGCGCCGTTTGTTCCGACGCGCGGCCTTACGTTTTGGGGAGGGCGCCGAGGCCATCAGGGCAAACGCCGCCTGGGGCGCGGTGGGCTTGCCGTGGGGCTTGCCACGGTGCTGGCGTCGTGTACCTGGAGCTCGGGGCGAAGGGTTTGCCGTGGGTTTGCCGTGGCGCCAGCGTCGTCCAGCTGGGAGCGTCGAGAACAAACGACGCGGCGGTACATCCATCTATATATATATATGTTTTTATATATATATATACATGCATAGATCTATATATATATATACATGTATGTGCATAGATACATGCGTGCATGTGTATAAGCATTATGGATGTGTATATGTTTACAGACAAACATATATACATCCATGCATGTATACATGCAAGCTACATACATACACACCGACGTATATGCCTACATACATACATACCTGCACGCCTACCGACCACCTACGTACATCCATACATCAATCGATACACACATTAATCCACACATGCATGCATACATACATAGACACACACATACACACATGCATGCACACATGCATACATGCATGCATCCATGCATACGTACATAACTGTATGCATACACACATACATGCACATGTACGTGCATGCATGCATTTACACATACATGCACATACGAACATACCTACCTCCATACACACACATACACGCATACACACAAGCAACCACGCGTCCGTACATCCGCACAATCATGCATACTAGCATACAAACACACTCACTGACAAACATGCGTACATGCGTGCATACATACATACAGACATGACTACATATAGACGCACATACATACAAGCATACATGCAAACATGCATACATAAAGGCCTGCATGTATCTATATATATATATACACATGCACACATACAAACACACACACGTACATTCATGTGTGTATGTATACATGCATGCATGCATACAGACATGCATACCTATACACATGCGTACATGCATGCATACATACATACATACATACTCATACACATACGTACATATATAAACACCCATACACACATACGTACGTACACACATGCATACACACATACGCACATGTATACATACATGCATGCATGCATACATGCATACACACATGCATGCACACATACACACATACACACATACATGCATGCATCCATGCACGCATACAAACATACATACTTACATGCCTACGTACATACTTACTTACGCATCTAGAGAGAGAGAGAGAGAGAAAGGAAGGAAAAAGTGAAAACAGAGAAACACAGGAACAACAAACAGGGTGTCTCCTCCTCCTCGTGCGCGCGGCGGGCACGTGTGGTCGCCTTGCCCTCCTTCTTACCTTACAGCTCGCTCCTCGTTGTCACCCACCTCTCCTGCGGAGGGGAAGGTGGAGGGCGGATGCACGACGTGACTCCCGCTCCTTCGCGTTGCGAGGCATTCACGATGAGGGGTTGCTGGGAGCTTCTGGCCTGGCCCTGGGGCCGTCAAGAGATCACTCGGGACAACATCGGGGGCGGCCGGAGCTGAGGATTGGGGGTGTGAGTATCATGGCCTGGATGGCGTTTTCCCAGATTTAACTGCCCCTCTTTTCTTCAATCGCGTCGCTCATTCCGCAGGCCCTGGAGCCCTTTTTAGGGCCTCTTGGGGACCTCTTGGGAGTCTCTTGGGGCTCCTTGGCGGCGTCTTGGGGGCCTCCCAGGGCCTCTTGGGGGGCTTTGGGGGGCCTCTTGGGGCGGCCTCTGGCCCAGATTTCACTGCCCCTTTCTCATTTCAATACGTCCCCTGGCCTCCCCTGGGCCGCGCACATGCACATGCCTCGGGCCATGATCTGCGAACCCCCGTCCTGGACGCCCCCTCCTTGGACGCTGCCAGGGAGGGCTGGTCCCGGGGGGAGGGGGGGGGTCCAGAGGGCCCAGTCCGTGAGAAACACCACGGCGTCAGAGTGCTGGCAGGGTGGACGGAGGGCACGGAGAGGGAGGATTTGGGCGTAGAGGAGGGCGAGGAAGGGTGATGGCGGTCCTAACGATGACAGTTTCCGTGTGTGCGGCAGACGTGGAGGTAGGAGGAGGATTGTGTGCGTGACTACGGTGCGAGAAGGGCTGATCATATCTGGGACATCCCAGAGAGGCATCCTGACCCTTTCCCACCTATATTATGTACGCGTGTGGCATTCCGATTTGATCCGCAGGTTTAGAGCAGCTGCAGAGTTCTCTGGTATACCAAGAAATCTGATATGATCGAAAGCATCAGTCGATGGACTCGCGAGACCTGAGATGGGGCCCCTACTCGAGCTGTTCCTGCCGTTGATCGGCGGCGAGCGAGGGGGGAAGTGAGAAGGAGAAGAACTTCTCAGAAGGCGGCGGGTCTGTGCAGAAGCCCTCTGGATCTGTGAGAGGTGTTTTTTGCGTGTGTCTTCGGGGAAGGCTCAGGAAGCTGCTCAGAAGGCCAGGGGACTTGCGAAGCTGCGTTGGAGGCCGCGTAATGGGGGAGCGATACATTGGGAGGGCAGCAAAGGCTGCCGAAAAGGGTCCTTCTCGGGCCTGGAAAGGGCATTTTCTCCCCCCCCCCCCCCATTCATCGCCCCCCATGAGTTCGCGCCCAACTGAGCAGGCCTTCTCCTTCTCACTTCCCCCCCCGGGCTCGCCGCCGACTTGACTAAGCTTAAGTCGGGCCTGTCCCTCTACAGGAGGAAACTTCCAATTTCTGTCAAACCATAGCCTGGGGACGTTTTTGTGTTGCTTGACCAGTTGGGAGTCTGTTCGGGGGCATTGCTTATGTGTCGTCCCAAAAAATCCCCCTCTGTAGGGGGAAGAATTGCTTATTTTTTCGTCCCAAATCCCCCCTGTAGGGGGACATGCCCGACCTGAGACTCAGCGGGATCTGCCGCGCAACGGGAGCCGATCCGCCCGCGGGAGCGGAAGCCGGGGGGGAGGCGCGGAGCCCGCGCTCCGCCCCGCCAGGGCCATGGCGGAGACCGCGGAGAACGCCGCCGACGACGCGGCGCGGGCGGTCCTCCGGCGAGGCGGCAGCATCACCGAGGAGCCTGGCGTCGTCGTCCCCTCCCGTGGTGGGAGGAGGAGGAGAGAGGAGGAGGAGGAGGAGGAGGAGGAGGAGGACGAGGAGGAGGGAGGAGGAGGAGGGAGGAGGGAGGAGGAGGAGGAGGAGGAGGGGAGGGGAGGCAGGAGAGGAGGAGATGAAGGAGGAGGAGGAGGAGGAGGAGCAGCAGCAGCAAGATCAGTTGCAGGAGGAGGAGGAGGAGGAGGAGGAGCGGGAAGAGCAGGAGGAGGAGGAGCGGGAGGAGCAGGAGCAGGAGCAGGAGCAGGGGCAGGGGCAGGGGCAAGAGCAGGGGCAGGAGTAGGAGCAGGAGCAGGAGCAGAAGCAGGTGGGGGGGGGGATTGGGAGGGTTCGGAGGGGGAGAAGGGGAGGAGGGGCAGGAGGAGGAGAAGGAGGAGGAGGAGGAGGAGGAGGAGGAGGAGGGGAGTAGGGCGAGGATGCATCCGCAGCCCTACTCCCTGTAGGGTAATCCACAGGTGTCGCCGCTGCACTTCTTTTCTCCTCCGCCTCTCTCCCCCTCTCCTCCTCTCCTTCCCTCCCTCCTTGCCGCTGCCGCCGCTGCCGCCTCTCCCCCTTATGATAGCGTGTTGGTGCGTTTGATTCGCTCCACCGGAGCTGCGCTCGCGGGGGATTCCCGAGCGCTGGGGCATGACCAGTCTACGGCCCGTTTTGACAGATACGTTTTAAGTGGGAATTCGTATCGGGAGGCCCGTGTTGGCCAGCGCATTCGCCAGACCGCAGGTCTCGAAAAACCCGGTCTTAAGTAACATTTCCGTCCTGGCCCCCCGGCAATAATTGTCTCGGGTGCTCTTTCGCTGTCCCTGCCACGTGCCTGATAGCGTCTCCGTATTCTTTGGTGGTCGGCTGCCCACGCAGCCTGGCTTCCCTCCATGTCCGGGGGCAGTGGCCATGCGAAGTTGTCGAGGCATCCAGCCGCCGTGGTCGACGTGAGGAGAAAAAAAAAAGGATGCATCCGCAGCGTGGGGAAGACGAAGGGGAGGAGAACCAGAACGGGAAGGAGGAAGGGAAGTGGGAACAGGGGTTTGGGGGAGGATGAAGCAGAGCGCGAAGGCGAGACGATCTCCAATTAATATCATGTTGCGATTTCTGCAGACAGGGATGGCTGCGGTCTTGCTGGCATTCACCATGGCGATGGCGGCACGGTTTTTGCCTCGTCTTGCTCTGACTGGGCAGCCTTCGGCACGGGCCTCCCGGGGACACCCGACCCACGTAATCCAAAAGCCGAAACAAGGTGACAATTTGGGCCCCCTGTGAAGGAAGGGCGACATGTGATGTGTGCAGCGGCCCCTCTGTGAAAGAAGGGATGCCCCCCCCCCTGCTGCCAGCAGGCCTCGCCATCCGCGGGGTTTGCAGGACACCCAGGGGCAGACAAGCAGGGGCGGGCACTCGGAACAGGGCGGGTGCCGAGGCGGGGATCTGCCCAGAACCACCGCCCGGGGAATCGATCTTCGGGGAACCTCGGCGGGCGGTGGATCTGGTTATACTCGTGCCCGGGTGGGCGGGGGGGGGGGGGCGGGCAATGTGCGGTCAGGAACGTTGGCTTGGCGTGCCGCGCCGCCAGTTCTGGCCCACCACGCCTCGGCGCGGCACGCCTTCTACGCTCCCGTGCCCGGGCGTCAGCGTCCCGAGCCTCTCTCAGCCTTCCGCCCCCGCGGAGGGGCGCGACACTGTCAGCTCGCAGGGCACAGCGTGTTGCCGGGGCCGCCGCCGCGACGCGATCTGCCACAGTTCCTGGCCGGATCCGTGTCCACCGCCCGGGGAGGCCCCCGAAGGTCGATCCCGCAGGCGGTGGTTAGTTATGGTCAGATCCCCGCCTCGCAGCCAAGGGCCCGGGAGGAGTTTCGTCCAGCGCGAGGCCGCCGAAAGGCTTCGGCAGGAGAGCGACGGAGCAGGGATCCGGCAGTGGAGGCGGCGAGGAGCGGCAGAGGGCGTGGCAGCAGGTGGGCGAGGGGACGAGAGGCAAACGAGATGTCCCAGGGTTCCAGGGGATAAAGGAAGCATTGCTTGGTATCGCTCGGACGTGTGATTTTTTCTTCGGCGAGGACCATCGAGGAGCATCCTCGATCATTTGGCGAAAAAGCCACGCACGAAACCAAACAAAACACAGGGAATGGACGTCCGAGCGATGGCGAGATTGCGACGTGCACGATGGCGCCGAAATTCCGGTGGCTCCCACATCGCTTGATGATCAGTCTGGTTTGCTCCGTCGTGGAGCTATGCGCCCAGCAGTCGCTCCGTCATGGCCACGCTGCCGACGGCTTGCCGTTCCCAGTGGTTGTTGTGTTCACATGTGTTGAGTACAACTGCATATTTTGTTGGACAGCCGAGCCAACACAGACAGATGCAGCGAATGCGATGCAGAAATTATGTATTACGATCCAGTGGACATCACATCATGTTCAAACATGCTCCGAGTGCCCTGCCTGGCGGAATACGCTTGGGCAGAGCTTCATCTTACGAGCGAGCCTAGGCAGATACCCCCGTGGACGTGACGAGCAGCTTGCGGGCAATCAGTCGGCAGGCTTCGCAGTTACGCCAGCGCAGGATTATGAGTGGGCGTCGGGGCCCAAAGATATGTACCAACATTTTCTCGATGAGCATACGTGACAGTGGGATGATTGCCGGTGCCGGGGTTGGTAGCTATTTCGACAGACGAAGCGCAGGGGTTACTGCATGGTCCTGGGGGCCGCGCTAAAAGGCTGAGTCGCGGTGTCTTTTGAAAGGCCGTGCTACGAGTGTGTATATATTGGTCAGCGCTTCGTTTGATTTCTGAAGTAGTCGGTTTCGTTTTGGTCTAGAACTTGGGCTCTTGACGACGAGCCCCAGTTCCCTGGCGCCTGGTGTATGCGAGGGGTGCAACACAGCACAATCATGATTCGTCAAGAAGCCCGCAGGCAAAGTGAGCTTGCGAATCAATCGTACACTTCAGCGCTGGGCAGCTGCTCTCGGATGTTTGGAAAGCGCACGGTCATCCAATTCGCCACCACGTGACTATCACTGACGAAAGGGCTGCGGCGCCACTGGCCGTGCATACCGACGACATGTGGCATTCAAGATTGCCATTTTCACGGTCACCGTTCCGAGATGTGTCGCCGCGTGTCCACATCAGTGTTCCGCAGAGGAGGCGCAGTCCACGATGTCATTATGTAAGTCATTTGTTGTTGAAAAACATGCACATGACATTTTGTTTGAATAGTTTATTAGTGCACTGGACATTGGCAGGCGTACATCAGTTTTGCCGGCATGCCATTGGTGAAGTGGATGAGTAGGTTGCACGAGCACGGTATGTTGTTATGTGGAGATGTTTTAAAACATGGATAAGGCCCGTGCTGTTTTTTTCTGTTCGGCGAGGCATTCTCTGGACATGTAATCGAGAAAAGACTTGACTTACGATTCACACAATACATGTTCTGGATGGGAACTATGCCCGACGCCACGACGGATCAAAAGAACTGCCCTGGCACCAAGCTCTCGCGCACCTCCGCAGCACGCATGAATCTTGGCCCAGAGACGAGATCGACAGCATGGTCGCCCGTATTCCAGTGCAGCCGTGCTTGGGTCCGCCAAGAACGCCAGTACTGACGTCACGGGCTGGCGCGAGGCTCGGTCGCCACAAGCCGTTCCCTCTCCCATCCTGCCCGGCAGGAGCAGCACGCGGGAAAGGGGCTAACATTTGCGGCTGATGTGTTTTTGCAATTCTCTGTTGGCGGGAGCACCGTCCCATCATGTGTCTTGACTGTTGTGTGGCGCATTGCGGTTTCGGAGCCAGCGGTTTTTCACCCGTTTAGTGCACATGCGAATCAGCTGATAGCATAGAGCGACAGAGCCACGTGCAAATTGCAACGAAGGCACATGTGCCATTGACAGATTGGGTATTGAGGTAGATAGGGGGTGACATCATCATGATCATCATCATCATCATCATCATCATCATCATCATCATCATCATCATCATCGTCATCGTCATCGTCATCGTCATCGTCATCGTCATCGTCATCGTCATCACCACCATCATCAGCAGCAGCACCATCATCGTTATCATCAGCATCATCACCAGCATCATCATTATCATAATCAGCATCTTCAGAACATCATCATCAGCATCATCTGCACCAAAATCGTCTTCAGCAGCAGCAGAAGCACCATCATCACCGCAATCGTCATCATCACCAGCATCACCATCGCCATCAACATCATCAGCATCATCAGCAGCATCAGCAACATCATCACCAGCAGCATCGTCTTCGTCATCGCCATCGCCATCGTCACTGTCGCCATCGTCATCATCAGCATCCTCATCACCGTCAGCACCATCATCATCATCATCACCTCCTTCATTACCACCTTCAGCATCATCATCATCATCATCATCAGCAGCAATATCATCAGCTGCAGCAGCGTCAGCGTCGTCATCGCCACCACCATTATCATAAGCATCATCACCAACATCATCGCCACCATCAGCATCATCTTCATCACCATGATCTTCCATTATCAGCATTATAGACATAATAAGTATCATCACCATCAGCACCATCATCATTAACATCAGCTTCATCATCATTATCATAAGCATCACCATCGGTATCGTCAGCATGATCGTCATCATCAGCAGCAGCATCACCACCATCATCATCACCAGCATCAGCATCAGCATCAGCATCAGCATCAGCAGCACCATCAGCAGCATCAACAGCATCAGCATCAGCATCAGCATCAGCATCAGCATCATCGGCTATTGCCAGCATCATCACCGCCACCATCCATCCATCAGTGCGTGCGCAGTCTGTTTGGTATGTTATGGGTCTTTGTGGGCTCCCACAAGCCCTCAGGCTATCGACGAAAGTGAACCGCACCACGCAACACACCCGCCCACCATCTCATAATACTCGATCCCTCGGGGATGACAGTCGCCCTCGTAGGCTCGCGCAGCAGTCCTGCACGACGGCAGCGCCACGATACCCTTGCTGCAAGCAAGCCAGTAAGAGACTGTGTGCACCAAACGGCACATTAGTAAACATTGTATACACTTCTCGATCTGTGCGCGTCATCATTGCGCGGGGGCCATGCTAATCTTCTCTGTGTCGGTCAAATGTTTGGAGGACAGCCTGGCACAGCTGCCTGTGGGGAGGTTCGATGCCACCAGCTTTTGCTGGAGGCGCGAGCAGCACGTCTGACGTTGCCGAAAGCGTTGGCTCCCACTGAGGGGGGAGGGGGCTCGGCCAAGTCCACGGGCGGGGCGTGGGGGGGGGGGGGGGGCGATGGGGGGGGGGGGGGGGCGATCGCGGAGAGCTTCCTCGCGGACTGGGCCACGGAGTCTCCGGCGAATCCGTTCTGGGCCACCTCGGGAGGAGCTCGGCCGCGAGTCTTATCGCGAGCCGACGTCGTCGCAGGAGGAAGGGGAGGATGAGGCCAACGAGGAGGAAGAGGCGTAGGAGGAGAAGTAGGACGAGTAGGGTGAGTAGGAGGAGGAGGAGGAGGAGGAGGAGGAGGAGGAGGAGGAGGAGGAGGAGGAGGACGAGAAGGAGGCAGAGGAGGAGGAGGAGGAGGAGGAGGAGGAGGAGGAGGAGGAGGAGGAGGAGGAGGAGGAGGAGGAGGAGGAGA